AATGGAGAACAAGTATTTTTACTGCTCACTCGTAAAGCTGCTTGTCAAATATATTTTGTGCATATATCGTTTGGTAGTTCTTACACCCCCACCTCCTTCTCTTAAGCCCCGTTATTCGGCAGTCATTCTTCAGCGCGGGGAAGATATATACGTATATGAGAGACATAATGAAATTTTAATTAAGCTCAAGCAGCAAGCAGAATTAAAAGACGAAATGTGCGCCTTTTAATTCAATTTATAATTACACTCGGCAGCCGGCAGAAGGTGGATCCCTCTATCCCCCCCTTTCCTTCTATCTTCTCCCTTCTCGCTCGAATATGGCCGTCTCTTTCGTCGCTTATTCGCATTCGCATTCGTATTCGCATCGCTGCGAATCAATTAAAAAGACATTTGCGAAAATGTTGCCAAGGCAAATTGAAACTGAAACGACAACACGAATGCTTAAATGAGCGAATAAACGAAGATGCGACTGAGACGGCGTGAAAGAGACGGGGAATATTGAGGAGGGCGAAAGCGACAGGGAGATGGGGTGGTGGTGGTGGTGCGAAGGATGCGAATGAATGCATAAATGAATGCCACATTGCACGAATGAATGATGATTGTCCCGCTGATGATGATGGCGGTACAAGTGTGAATCCGACTGTGCGACTCAAGACGTTCTCCCCGCTCCCCCTTACACTTCCTTCCCCTCTCCCACTCTCTCCCTTCAGCGAACTGCGCTTTAAGGGACCTCCCGTTACCTCCCATTGCCACCCACTTGGTCAATCCCGTGGCGTCTGCCGTTAATGTAATTCAATAACCTTCATCTCCCCAGTTGGCCATGATGACTGTTGATTGTTTTTCATACGACGCCAGAGCGGCTCGAAATTTGCAATTATTAATTGGCACTGCGAAGGAGGCGATGTCTTCGACAAATGCGCAGGTAAGGGTTAAGCAGTTACGTAAGTCGATCCAAAGTATTTCTTAAATTTTTTACAGCCAATTCGATTCGATTTTAAAGCCATTTGAGTTCGCTCGGTCGATTCCCTGGCAGATTGGTTAAGAAACGACCATAATGGCAATGGATGGATATATTTGACTTGGGGAGTTGCATAATCCGCTCCTTGGCCAAATCGAGCAGTGGCAAATGTGCTCGGCTGACAATTGTCGCCCGGCTGCAGCTGCTCCATCCATATGTGCCGTTTGTGAGCATAATCCCCTTGTCACACGGCGCCACTGCCCCACCACCCAACCACCCACCCAACTACCCCGAAACACCACCCACCACTGCACCACTGCTCCCCTGGCAAACAGACATAAATCAAAAACTCAACGAAAACCTTCAAACGTTCAATACGAGAATGCCTTGGATTGTGGCCCCCAGCCATTTCTCATTTCTCAAAGAGATCCCCGCTCCCAATTGCACTAATCTCGTGCCATGCAGCTGTCCCCCTTTCCCCCTTTTTCCCTTTTCCCCCGCCTTTCCCTTTTCCTCCCTTTTTCCGCCCCCCCTTGTCGCTTTTGCTGCAAACTTTCTAATAATTTCTATTTGAAAGCCCGGCCAAAAGTTGTGCGTGGTGTGCAAAACTGTCATAATTCATAAGTCGCCCAGAAACCCAAACGCAAACGCAAACCCAAGCCTGCACCAGAAACTGAATCCAAAACTGGTGGCAAAGGGAAGAGGATTCGGATTGGAAATGGGAATGGGAATGGGGAATGGGATTTAGAAGGAGAAGCTACGGCTGTCTGTGTATAATTACATGGTTCAACTGTCACGGCGGAAAACAAATAAATGAGTTTCGCTCACCGAAAAGTTTGTTCTTTGTGCAACTTGTGGCCATCGATCCGTCGCAAAATATCGAAGAGCCACCGCACCGCACCGCACCGAGTGCACCAGAGTGCCCCACCACCACCACCACCACCGAAATCGAGAAATCGAGAAATCGAACTGTCTGACCCACTCATCAATCAATCGATTGGGCGGGCGGCAAGCCATGTAAATTCTAAAGCGAATCAATATAAATGCCACCTGGCTGCTTGGCATTCAAAAATTAATTCAGATTGCAATTCCTTTGAATTATACGCATCAGCAAACTATGATTTCTCATGAAATATTAATGCCGGCATGCGACATTTGATATTTGGCGATGTGCGCTTTTGTTTTTCTGCCCCAACGACACTGCCATCGAAAAACACTTAGAGAAAAAGTATTTCAAAGGTATTTGAAGTTTAAATATTTTTATTCTTTATAGAATTACTTGTTCTAATTACAAGTTTAGGAAACGCATTTCTCTATAACCATTATAGTTTTTTTGAAATAATTTTTTAGTTATGTAATTTCTGGTCTTTGAAAGGACTCTTTTTGTGTGCACTTCCAGAGAGCCGTGACCAACTTCGTTATCATTGTCAACATACCGTTGAGTGCCGAGACTCGGAACCCGGAACCCGAAACCCGGAATCCGAGCCTGGAACCTCGAACCTCGAACCCCGAACTCCGAGTCCTGCTGCTCGATTCTCCAATCTCGAGTCCTTCTCCCGCGCCTCCGCATAATCAGAGCAATTTCAAAGTTGCGTCTGTCAGAAGGGCACAAAATGTGGCCACCCACTTTTGCCGCCCACTTTTGGTTGGCGGCACTTTTTTTCGGTGGCTTTTTTGTTGGCACTTCCTTTTTGACACCGGCGTTCCGCTACGTTTCACGGCTGCCATTTCACCTGGCCCCCACGTCCACCTCCACGTCCACGTCCATGTCCTCGTCCTTGCTGCCCCCCTGGTTCCCCATTCGTGTCTATCAATGCCGTGGCGATTGTCCTGGCTGCCGCTTGTCAGCCGGAAAATGTGAATTTATCACACGAGCACGTACGCATATTCCCCGTTGTCCTTTTTTTTTTTTGTGCGAGCCATCCGGATGAGTGGGCGTCCTGCCACCCCGGCCACACCCCCACCTCCTCCCTTTTCTGCTTCTCTGCCCTTCCTCCAGATTAGTTAATGCTCGCATTTGAATATGAGCTGCGCGCTTATCTGGACCGGAGCACACCGACTTCCTCCTCCTCCAAGCTCCTCGCTCCACGCTCCTCGCTCCAAGCTCCTCGAAACGTCCAGCTAAGCGGGCGAAAGTCGCGGGGAAATCAGCGGAACATCGGCTGAATGTCTTAATTGCATACTGCTGCTGGCAAATTCACTTCTGCCGCAATTAAGAGCCAATTTCGGTGCAAGGCGACCCAAGGGGCTTTCTAATCAGCGCGACAGGAGGTTGTCGACGCTTTTCGCTTTTCGGCTTCGCATCTCCTCCTTGTTTTTCCGCCGACCAGCTCACAAAGGCCAATAGGATGCCAGGATGCTGGTTCCTGGTTGCTGGTGGCGATGCTCTTTTTGAACATCTGCTGCATCTTTACTGTTGAAAAATGCTTAAACTACAGCAATGCAATTTATAAAAGACTTGTTTATACATATATAGTAAAGTCACGACTTACAGTTTCTTGTTCCTTAAAAAAAATCCTTGTTGATTTTGTCGATTTTTAAAGATTTCTCTGAGGAAATCAGGTGATGTCAACCGGTCTTCATTATACTCGCATGCTCAGCTGGATATCCGCAGCTCCTTTGATGCCGATCATCTGTGTCAGCGAATGTCTGTCGGTCTGTCTGTCTGCGGGCGTCCGATTCGCGATTCGCGGTTTATGCAAATTACTTGGCATACATTTCGCCGCCAGTGCGTCGTAATCAACTCTTGGGCCATCGCTGCGTATACGTAATCAACTCAGGCGGCGCGTCGTGTGCGAACGCATAATACGCCCGGTTGGCCTGGACCAAAAAAAAAAAAAAGGATGGGATGGAACGGATGGACGGCCTTTTCCGACCAGGTCAGCCGCAAAGGTATCGTCATCGTCGGCACTGCGGTTTTTCACCTTTTTCCCGCCGTGCTTTCGGTCCTGCTTGAGCCACCTGCTTATAATCCCTTCTGCGGCAGTCGTGTTTCACGCAACTCCTGCCGGAATAATGTCGAGTTCTCAACGCCAAATTGGGAGTAATTTACGGATTAGCCATGGACTTTGTTAATGCGAGTTGTTTATGGCTGATTTTGCGCGAGTTATTACGTATATAAACCTAAAAAATAAAAGGTGTTTCAACATGTTAGTAAGAAAGTATTAAAGTACAAATTACAGAAGTTTAAATCTATACAAAATACTACATTTATTACTTAAGGAAAACACAACCTCCCCATTCTTTCGCTCTAAAAAGAAAGCTTAGAAAGGCCCACCTATAAATTGTAAAAGAATAAGTCCACCCTCGCCAAACTCGCTTTCACTTCCGCATCGAATTGGATTTGTTGACTTTGCATTAGATGAGAAGGCCCAACTCGATTTTGCCGCGCATCGTTCCCAGAAATGAAAACCCCTTCTGTTTCGTATTATACGTATATCCCCCCGACTCCCGGCCATATCCATTCGCCTGGCAATGGCTTCATTTGGCTGCCATAAAATATGCGAAATTGATATGAATGACAAACCCGAGCGCGAAAGGATTCAACTCGAACTCGACCTCGGCTTCAAAGTATCGGATTGCTTGCGTTTCGGGGTAATCTAGTGTGAAGTCAAACGACTGGATGAATTTAATACGAGTTTAAACGGGGTTGCTTTCTTTCTTTTTTTTTTTTACCATAATTGCAAGAGTAAATTGGGACAACAATTTAAAGTATTTATTCACTCGCATCCCTTTTTTATATAATTTTAAAGGTATCAATGTTTGTTTTACAAATTTAAATCTTAAATTTTTATTACCATATGTATTATTTTCTGTGATTTAAACATATATGACCACTTCTCCTTTTACCATAATTGCAAGAGTAAATTGGGACAACAATTTAAAGCATTTATCCACTCTCTTTTCTTTTTTATTTCATTTTAAAGGTATCAATGTTGGTTTCACAATTTGAAATCTTAAACTTGTATTGACATTTGTATTATTTTCTGGACTTAAACATATACCATATGACAACTGAGTAATCCTAGAGCATCCACTCAAATGGGAAAGGCAAAGCACTCCCAATGCCTGCTGACTACACATCGGACAAGGAGATCCCCGCGTGGCGCAGGACCCGCTACCTGGTCATCCTGATGCTCTTCACGGGAATGGCGAATGCCTACGTGATGCGAACGAACATGTCGGTGGCCATCGTGGCCATGGTCAACCACACGGCCATCTCGGATGTGGACGGGGACTCGGACTCCAGCTCTCAGGACGGGGAGTTCGTGTGGAGCTACAAGCTGCAGGGCTACATCCTCTCCAGCTTCTTCTACGGCTACGTGCTCACCCAGATCCCCTTCGGCCTGCTGATCAAGTACTGTGGTGCCCGGCACTTCCTCGGCTGGGGCATGATGATCAACTCGGTGGCCGCCTTCTTCGTTCCGCTCTCGGCGAGATCGGGTGGTGCCATCGGACTCTGTGTGGTGCGCTTCATCCAGGGCTTGGGCGAGGGACCCATTGTGCCGTGCTCGCACTCCCTGCTGGCCAACTGGGTGCCGCCGGAGGAGCGCTCCCTGGCCGGAGCCGCCGTCTATGCGGGCGCCCAGTTCGGCACCATCGTCTCGATGCCACTGAGCGGATTCCTGGCCCACCACGGATTCGATGGCGGCTGGCCGTCGATCTTCTACGTCTTCGGAATGGTCAGCACTGTGTGGTGCGTCCTGTTCATCTGGCTGGTGCCGGAGAGTCCGGAGGCGAGCAAGCACATCTCGGAGGCCGAGAGGCAGCACATCGTGCAGGCCATTTGGGAGGCCCAGCCCACGGAGGCTGGAGCGAAGATACCCTTCTGGGGCATCGCCAAGTCGCCGCCCTTCCACGCCGTTTTGGTGGCCCACGCTGGCCAGAATTATGGCTACGAAACGCTGATGACCATGCTGCCCACGTACATGTTCCGGGTGATGGACGTGGACATCCAGGCGAACGGAGTGATATCCTCGCTGCCCTACCTGGCCATGTGGCTGCTGGCCATCGCCTTTGGCTTCCTGGCCGACTGCCTCATCCGGCGCAAGTGCTCCGTGACGATTGTCCGGAAGCTGATGAACAGCTTGGGGCAATACGGACCGGCGGCGACTCTGATCGCCGTGGGATTCGTGCACCACAGCCTGTGGCTCACCTGCGTGGTCTTCGTCTTCGGCCTGGGCCTGAATGGGGCCATCTACTCCGGCTTCAAGATCAACCATTTGGATTTGTCGCCCCGCTTTGCTGGCTTCCTTATTTCGGTGACCAATTGCGTGGCCAACTTGGTGGGACTCACGGCTCCAATGGTTGCCGGTCATGTGATCGACCAGGGTCCCGTGGTGGAAAACTGGCGGATCGTCTTCTATATCTCCGCTGGGGTTTTTATTTTCAGCGCCAGTTTCTACAATATATTTGGCAGCGGCAAGCAGCAGTGGTAAAAACAACAAAATTATTAAAAGAAAAAATGGATGAAAAAATGGATGAACAAATTTAGATTGGAATGGGGAAAGAGGTGATGAGGGTGACAAGCATATGTTGTAATAGAAAACACACACAATCTGTTGCGCAAAAACCACAGACATAGAATCCGAATAGGAATACGAATACGAAACTGAAACGGCGGGCAGGACATCAATCAAATGGCCGCATGTCCTTTGGCCTGGCCGGGCCATTTAATTTCGCATTTGTGCCATTTATTTTATGGCACATCTCTGGGCCTAATTAGCAGGGATCGGATGGCCACTGGCCACTTGTCCTCGTCATGGTTTTCGGCCAAACAAACACTCGCAGCAACCGAAAATTGTCAGGCCATCAACAGGGCGTTTGTAAATTAACAATGATTTATTCGAACTTGTCCACTGTCCGGAATCTAACATGTTGGCCATGTTCGGCGGGCGAACTCAATGTTTGTTTATGAAATAAATTATTGGATCTATTTAAAGTCTCTTTCGGATCCCTTTTTGCTGAATATCTCAAATTTAATAACAAAATATGGGTTGCTTCTCTTTCTCCATTCAATTCTATTTTTGGGTTGTAGGCTTAACTGCCCTTTTAGTCAGGATTTTTCAGCAACACCTTGGATTTGCATGGACCCTTGAGCTAGCCGGTTAATCTTTGACTCGTAATACATTAAGCTTTTCAATTTTGCCCCGCAAATCGGCGATGATGTCTCCATCATCCGTTGGCCAAGCGTTGTTGGCAAAGCGTTCCGGTGAGTTTAAGCAGCTTAAGTTTCATTGCAACAATAATTTGCGTGCGGGTCTTACGGGGAGATACTAAGCATCTATATATATATATACCATGCAAACATACTTACACACTTACACACTTAAACATTGATGGTAGTAGTAGAAGCACAGGTGTGCCCGCCCACAGATACTCACCTGTGAGCCCGCAGACACCTGGCCACAAAATGTTCGCCAGTCTTGTAATAACCAGCGAGCACAAGGACATCGACTGGGAGAACGGGAGAATGGGTTCAGTGGGTGGTTGAGTGGGTGGTTCAGTGGGTGGTTGGCTGGGTGGCTGGGCTGACTTGCTCCTGCTGACTGCTGGCAAAGTTGGCCAGAATGTTAACTTGTCTGCACGTTTCGTTTTGTCGCCAGTGAAGCGACTAGATAGGGCGGGACATGTAATTGGGTTTTCACTTGATTCAACATGCGCCAAAATGTCAAAGTGCACCGCAAGTTTCCTCCTTTATTTCCCAGCTGCATCTCTCCTGTTTTACCTGCTAGCGATTCCATTCGGATTCGGATTTGGATTTGGACTCCGATTTGGATTTGGACTCTCGACTCAGGTGAAAACCGGCAACAGGGCACAAAGCCGAGGAAAACCGGGGAATTGTCATCTCGGGCGACTTGCGTCACTTGTGTTTATCCGCAGCTCACTTGGAGAAATCCCCGCCGGAGAAAGTCGAATTAACACCGAAGTGAAAGCAGGCGGAAAGCGCTCAGGGAGTACACATACTCGTAGTAACTGAATGCCATTCAAATTGAAACAGGCCTCCTCAGCAAAAACCCCCAATTGTTTGGTTAAAAATAAAGCAGAGAAAACAATTGGCTGACTTGCCAAAAATATATTTAATTTGTAAGTTGTGTGTGATTTACATTTTAAACAATCAAAGGACAGGGGAATACTTTTATTTGTGTGTTTTATTTTTAGTAAAAGTTTAGTTTTATTGTTATATTTGTTTGTAAATATCCTCTTTTGCCAGAATCCACTGTAACCGGAAAGCCGTTGCGCTGTTTTTCAGGTGCAAATCCCTGACCGCGGATCGAATGTTTCCATTATTCGGCATGAATATATGCCAATGTATATCGGTCGGTATAAACAAATTCGAATAGCCGGCCGAATGGCATCTGTAATCGGTTTTTGGCATTTGCTTTGCTGCCCGGCATTATTTTGGATGCAACAATGCGCTAATTAGGCGTCGATTCCCAAATACCGGTGCTAATTCCAATCCCCCCATCATATTGGCTGCAGCCACCGAATGGAACGCAAGTCCGAGCTTAAAAAAGATTCATTTGCGCTAATTAAATGTCATAATTTCAGCACTTGGTAGGTGGCCTTTTGCAGTCGCTCGTATTTCGTTTGGTTTTTGGTTCTACCAAATGCAAATTCGCCCGGCAAAACTTATGGCAATCGCAGTGGCTAAGCCCTTGAACGCATTTTCATCGGCTTTCAGCATTTTGCGGACCACACACGCACTCTAAATATTATGTAAGGGCATCAGGAGCCAAACCCCCAAAGAAGCTCCTCTTATGCGCTACCAATGTTTACGCTTCGGTTTTGAAAAGTTACGATAATGCGACTGGCTCCTGGCTTCGATTTCTCGATACGATTTGTGGCCCTCGAGTACAGCCAGCTCACGTGGGATGAGTGGGCGTGGTCGCTTCCTAGACTCAGATTCAGATTCAAAAGCTGCTCGTTATAACTGCACAAAAAAAAAATATTAACAACTCTTCTACAAATGTCAGGAAAATACAAGTTCCATATTTTAATATTTTGTTCAGAAAACACAGATTTTTTCGTTTTTTTTTTCGAATATCTGAAGAAGTACTTTTCCAAACGTGGAATGACATACATCGTTAAGAACGTGATAAAATTCCGAATCCGATGGTATACCCACCTAAAAATGTAGAAATTTGGCCATTTTTCGCAAAAACTAATTACCAGTGGAAAAAGTTTTTTTTTTGCCCAAAACTACAAAAAATTGCTTAAAAAAAAACAGTTTTTTGGAATATCTGAGAAAGTACTCTCCCAAATGTGGAGTGGCATACATCGTTGAATTCGTAAGAAAATTCTGATTCCTATGGTATAACCACCCAAAAAAGTTGAAATTTTGCCATTTTTCGCAAAAAATGACGATGTTACCCCTTATGAAAATTGCGAAAATTGGCCAAAAATCATATTTTTTGGATCGTCCAAAAAGTGATTGGGCTCGTTAACTGTGGTCATAAGGTGCTCAAAACAGTGTTTGGTTCCGCTGTAAGTCACTTTTTGGCCTTATTATAACCAAAAAACCACTAAAAAGATAGGATTTTCTACCAAAATTGGCAAAAATCATATTATCTCAACGGAAGTTTCCAGACCATTCCTTTTTCATACTCATCTACCCATCGATCAACGAGCGCAGCTGAAACGACGTTGGGGGATTCATCGAGGAGCAGCAGACAATTATTCGCCTTGGACGAGCAGAGTGATTTATTTATTATTAAGGTTTTATGTTACTTTAGAGATATTTGTTTAAATATAGAATATTTTATTATAGATTTTAAGTTATTATTAAATGAAAATGAAATTAAATAAAATGTTTTTTCTTGGTTTGGGGGTATATTGACAATTATGAGTGGTTTATAGAATATCCTCATAAGGAGTGGCTAAAAAGGAGATGATGGCTCAAATCCCTAAATTCGATGGAAAAAAACGAGTTCGAAAAGTATTACTGACCATTTGGACAGCCAAATTGGCAATTTCTGAAAACAAAGTACCAGGCAAACAGAAGTTCCTAGAAGGTGGAATTTATCAAATTAATTTATAATTTTATCCGAGTTTCAAACCCAATACTATCAGTGATGCTCAACACACAATCCCAGTATTTTGCGTGGATCGAGCATAGTCAAGTTTCGAACCACGACCCTTAGTACCATCCATAGAGGAAATTGTTGCATATCTTAGGGGGCTGCTGATTTTGGATATCTTATTTTGTTGCCACCTACTAGAGATTTCTGTTCGCCTGGTATTCTGTTTTCAGAAATTGCCAATTTGGCTGTCCAAATGGACAGAATCAGACGTGACGATAAATATTATTTAGATTAATTCGAAATACACCTGCTACACGTTTCTTTTTAGCTGGTGTCTAAAAAAATTCCCCACACGCCTCTCACATTAAAACAGTCAATAATTCCATTAGTTAGTTTTTATTATCTTTAAAATATCGATTTTTAAATAAATAATAAGTTCGTTTCTTATATTAATAATCTTATTATAGTTTTTTCTTTCATATTATAGTATATTGTATCGCCGACCTCCTCCTCGATGAATCTGGCCAGAAACTTTGCCATGTCCTTCGGTTTCCAGCTGCCCTCGTTAATCGATGAATCCTGAAAGAAAAAAAATATTTAATATATTAAAAAAGGTCAAATTCTATTATTCTTATATTATATTTTATATTATTATAAATAAGTTACTTATGCAAGTATATATCTTATTATTATTTTATGTTATTATTACACATTATTCTCTAATCATATACTTCAACAGAAAATCTAAAAACCTGATTCCCTTGTGTGCCTCCTGCTAAGGGCTAATAAATACTACAAAAAATGGCTTTAAAGAACCCAGTTTTTTTGCATTATCTAAGGAAGTACTCTTCCAAATGTGGAATGGCATACATCGTTGAATTCGCAATAAAATTTCCTATCCGATGGTATAAACACCCAAAAAGTTGAAATTTTGCCATTTTTCGCAAAAAATGACGATGTTACCCCTTATGAAAATTGCGGAAATTGGCCAAAAATCATTTTTTTTCCAAAAAGTGATTGGGCTCGTTAACTGTGGTCATAAGGTGCTCAAAACAGTGTTTGGTTCCGCTGTTAGTCACTTTTTGGTCCTATTACAACCAAAAAACCACTAAAAAGATAGGATTTTCTACCAAAATTGTCAACTGATCTTTCCCAAATCAGTTTTTATGAACTAACTAAAGGATCAGGATTAAATGACAATTGAATTGGATTCGGTAGCATAGATAGTTGGGCTTCTCTGGTTTTTAAAACTATACCTTGTTTGGTGTAAGTTGTTTCTTGCCGTCGTTAGATATTTTTCCATGAAATTAAATATTGTTTATTTTTATTTATTTATTTATTTATTATCACCAACAGAGAGACCCAAAGAACTCCGTGACAGAAGCAGACTGTTCGGCTGGCAACCGCAGGGTTTGAAGTCTTGCCAGCTGCAGTTCAGTCAAACCGAAGGCATTAG